TACAATGACTCAGTACATTCTTTCCATCTTCTTTTGATACGTCCTGGATAGTTTAATACTCTGCCTAAAACATCCTTGATTATAGCAACTCACGGTTTGAATTTGTTCTTCAGCTTGAGAAATGCTGAGAGAGTTCAACCCTTTTGGTTTTCTGACTCCAGCTCCTTGCACATTTCATCGTAATATTTTACTTTGTCATCCCACACTGCCTTTTGAAATCTTCTGTTCATCTCTTTAGTATCTTGAATTCTTCCTTGTGTTTTGGCTTCTCTGTGCTCCCGTGCAATATTCAGAGTTTTTCCTGACATCAATTTTGGTCTTTTCTTCCTCTTCTGTCTTTGTAATTAACGTTTGCACTCTTCTTGGATGAAACCCTTGATATACTCCCACAACTCATCTGGTCTTCACTCATTCGTGTTCAAGGCCTCAAATCTGTTCCCAAGATGGGTCTGAAATTCAGGTGGGATAGACTCAAAGATATATTTAGTTTCTCGTGAATTTGGTTTAATTTGCCTCAGCTTCAGCTTGAACTTGCATATGAGTAGCTGGTGGTCTGTTCCACAATCATCTCCTGGCCTAGTTTTCACAGCTGATATTGAGCTTCTCCAGAAGTTCCTTCCACAGATGTAATCGATCTGATTCCTATGCATACCATCAGGTGAGATTCATGTGTATAACCTGTGTTTATGTCTCTTAAAAATGTGTTTGTGATGAATAAGTCATCGATTGTGCGAAATTCAATCATTCTATGTCTAGCTCCATTTCTGTCTCTGAGTCCATGTTCTCTGACTACTGATTCTTCTTTTTTGTTCCCAACTTTTGCATTCCAGTCACCCATTATTATAAATGCATCTTGATTGCATTTTCGATCGATCTCCAACTGTAAAAGTTGGTAGAAATCTTCTATTTCCTCTTCTTTGGATCTGGTTGTTGGTGCATATATCTGAATGATAGTGGTATTCATTGGACTTCCTTGTATGCTTATGGGTATTATCCTGTAACTCACAATATTACAGACCCAGAAAAACTATATTGATCAAGAGTTATTTGAATAGCTATGGAAGAAGGTGCAAATGATGGAAGAAACAATGGAAACCTATAAGAAAGCAAATGCTCCAGAGATACAGAGCGAGATGAAATATATTGATGAAGAGAAACATGCTCAAATTAGGAAGTAATGCAAAAAAGAGAAGAAAGGATTGAAATTGTAAAGAGATATAAGAACTTAAAAAAAATCACAAGATAGAAAGAGTACTGCCAACACAGTACTAGAAATAATAGAAAGCCATGAAAATGCAAACCAGAACATTCAGACTGAAATGACAGAAGTGTTGAACACATTGGAAAGGCAAAAATACTAGAATGAAAGAGATGGAACAGAGAGTCAGTGAGCTGGAAGACAAGAACTTCAATGGAAACACACTCAAAGAAAAATCAGAGATGAGACATAAAAAAGAAGAAAACATTATAATTATGTGACATGACATCAAAAGGAATGGCATACATATGACTGAAATTCCGGAATATGAGAGGAATAGGGAAATCACTGAGAAAATTGTTGAAGAAGTACTTGAAGAAAATTTTCCAAGTACTTTGAGGAATGAGGAAATCCACATTCAGGAAGCTCAGTGAACAGCAAAATGGATAATATCAAGACGTATCATAGTCAAATTCTTCAAATTAAAAAATAAGGAAAGACTACTGAAAGCAGCATGAGAAAAATAAAGAGACACATACAAAACAAAAGCAATTAGATTATGTTCTGATTTCTCAGCAGAAGCCATGCCAGCAACAAGACAATAGGATGGCATATACAGAAAATTGGAAAAAAAAAACAACAAACAACAACCCACAACTGCCACATGAGGATCCTGTACACAGGAAAGCTGTCCATCAAATAAGAAGGAGAAATCACATCCTTTGCAGAAAAGAAAGAACTTAAGGAATTGGTGAAAACAAGATGGAACCTACAAGAAGTTTTAAGGGACTTCCTACACACAGAGACACCAAAAGAAAGTGCATGGATCATATTAACAAGAAACAACAACAAAAAAGAAATACTGTAAATGGCAATGTTAAAATCTGGCCTATCAATAATATCAGTTAATGTAAAGGGACTTCTTAATGTTCCAATCAAGGGAAAAATAATAGCAGAATGGATAAAAAAAATCAAAGCCCACCAATATGTCTACAAGAGACATATGTAATAAATGAAGAGAAAGGCTAAAAATCAAAAGCTGGGAAAAAATATACCAAGTAAATGACATCCACAACAATGCAGGAGTGGTAATACTAATCTCTGATAAAATAGACTTCAGAATGAAAATCACCATAAAAGATAAGGAAGGGTTCTATACAGTGATCCAAGGCACAGTAGATCAGGAGGACATAACATTGATCAACATTTACACACCAAATGATAGATATGATAAATAAGTAAAACATCTTTTAACAGAACTGAAGAAATAGACAGTACCACAATAGTGGTAGGAGACTTTAACACACCACTTTCACCAAACGATAGGTCAACTCAAAAGAAACTTAACAAAGATTCAGAAGAATGAAACTAAACAGTCAGCCATCTCGAACTTGTGGATGTATTCTGAGCACTGCACACAACTAAAACTCAATTTGCTTTCTAAAACTCAATTAACTTTCTTTTCAAGTGCATATGGTACATTCTTCAGAATTCATCACATATTAGGATACAAAGCAAGCCTCAATGTAATAAAACTAGAAAGTAACCACAAGAGAATAAAGCTTATAAAATCATCAATAATCAAGCTAAATAAGAGCCTTCTAGAACATGATCAGGCTATAGAAGAAATAAAGAATAAAATAAAACATTTCTTGAAATAAATAATAATGAAAATACAGTGTACCAAAACCTCTGGGATGAAGCTAAGGCAGTACTCAGCGGGCAGTTCATAGCAATAGGTAAATACATAAAAAACAAAGAAACAAAATAAATTACCTAACTCAACATCTTCATCAAATAGAAAAAGAACAACAATTTAACCCACAGCCTCTAGAAGAAAGAAAATTATAATAAGAGCTTAAATCAATGAGACAGAAAGCAGAAAAACATTTGAAACCATCAATAAGACAAGGAGCTGGTTTCTCAAAAGGACCAATAAAATTGGTGAACCATTGGCAAACTTAATGAAAAAAAAGGAGAAGACACAAATAACTTGATTAAGGAATGATAGAGGTGACATTATAAGAGAACCAGAGGAAATTAAATCTATAATACCAGAATATTATGAAAAGCTATAATGGCACCTAACAATAACAACAACAGCATACTTAGATAAATTTGAAAAAGTAGAGGAAATGAACAAATTCCATGAAACCCATGCCCGACCTAGATTGACAAGGTCAGATGTAGAACACTTGAACAAACCCATAACAAAAGAAGAAATTGAAAAGGTCATAAAAAGACTCCCCCTCCAAAACAACAAAATATCCTGGACAAGATGGATTCACAGCTGAATTCTACCAAATATTCAGAGAAGATTTATCACCAACTCTACTTAAATTACTTCAAAATACAGAATAAGTATGAACACTCCCAGAGACATTCTATGAAGCGATCATTATTACCCTAGTACCAAAACCAGGCAAAGATATTACCAAAAAAGAAAACTACAGACCAATATATCTCAGGTCATAGATGCAAAAATACTTAACAAAATCCTAGCCAATAGAATCCAAAAACATATAAAAAAATTAATTCATCATGACCAAGTGGAATTCATACGAGGTATGCAAGGATGGTTCAACATAAGAAAGAAATCAATATAATTCACCACATTAACACAACAAATAACAAGAACCATATGGTCCTAGCAATTGATATAGGAAAGGCATTTTACAAAATCTAATCCCTCTTCCTGATTAAGACACTCAGCAAAATTGAAATAGAAGGGAATTTCTTCACCATAGTCAATAGTATATGCAAAACTAAGAGCCAATATAATTCTCAATGGGGAAAGATTAAAATGCATTTTCTTTGTGAACAAGGCCCAGACAAGGATGTCCATTGTTGCCACTGCTATTTAATATTGTATTGTAAATACTTGCTAGGGCAATATAACAAAAGAAGGAAATGGAAGACATCCAGATTGGCAAAGAGATGGTTAAACTGTTGCTCTGTGCAGATGATATGACAGTGTACACAGAAAACCCAAGGACTCAACAAAAAAACTGTTAGAGCTAGTAGATCAATTTATTTTTTATAGCATTTCTAATAAATAGTAGATCAATTTAGTAGTGTGTCAGGAAACAAGATCAATATCCAAGAATCCGTGGGATTCTCTACAGTAACAAAGAGAACTCAGAAAAGGAAACCAAGAAAGCAATAACCATTTACCACAAATTGAGATACTTGGGAATGAAACTAACTAAAGATAAGAAAAATAAGACACAAAGAAAACTACATAACATTTCTGCCAGACACAGTAAAAGACCTAAAAAATGGAAAAATGTGCCCTGTTCATAGATAGGAAGACTCAATATTGTGATAATTACAATCCTACCATGTTCAACACTATTTACATGTCAACACAATCAAAATCCAGACACCAAATTGATTTTTCAAGCAGATTGAAAGGGAAATTGATTCTTGATCTCCTGACTTAGCCCCAAACCCCACATGGACCCATGTTGAGTCAACAGGCGAGGGGTCCCTATGCAAGTCATGGCATTTTTAAATGCTTCATATACTTGTGACAGTTGGCCAATGAAAAAGAAAAACTGAAGAAGATGCAAAAGCATATATGTCAACTGAAAGTCACTGAACAAAAACAAATATTATCTAAGACATCTATTCCAAGTGTTCTCTTCAACATAATAAAAGAGTTTGTATCTGCAAAACAAGGGTTTAAAGTCACTAGTCTGGATAGCTAAATGTTGCTACCTTCATTCATTGAAGTATTATTTCAAAAGTTTCAGTACTTTCAAAAAGAAAACAAATAGTACACTAGAAAGAATTCTAGACCATGACTCAGGATCAGGGAGAGTCTTGTCTTGTCCACTATGTAAAGGATCTTATACAAGTTCCTTTACCTGGTTTTCTTGTGAGGAGTTTGGACAGGACGTGATGCAGTTTAGAAGCCTGTGTAACTGCACCACTCCTCAGACCAGCATGTGGATCTGGCCAGGCAAGTTCTAGAAAATCCTTTCATGTTAGTAAGTTAGGCATAAATTTCCAAGGTGTGCCTATTTGTGCAAAGTCTTTAGAAAGTGCTGGAATATAAGCACTCCATAAATGCCATTGTATTGATTCAGAGTTCTTGAGGGCAAGCGAAACACAGAAAATAGGTGTAACAACTAGGCCTGGCCCAATGTTTACAGTGTAGGAGGTGGCTTATTTTTTCAGATCTTTGGAACCAGATATAAAATAAAATTTTCTTACTCACTACAAATTGCCATCCATTTGATTCTGCTATCACAGAAAAATTTACCAAAACTGAACACTTTAAAAATTAATTTTAATGAATGTTTACAGAGACTTTCATTCATTAATTTTTACATTTTCCTCCCTGCCCACTCCTCCCCCGCCCCGATCACTCTTCTCTTTAAAAAGTAAAAGAAAAGTTCTTTCATTGGTGTACAATCCTCCCCTCCCCCAAGTATACTGCACTATGCAGTCTTCATTCTGGACTCTTGATATGACCATAATACCCAATCATATATCACTTTTAAACAACAGTTCTCTCCCTCATCTATTTTACACACACTCCAGTTTAGCACTCAGGAGGGAATCTCTAGGGAACTAGGTAATTCCCTAACTGCTCAATTTTAAAGTACCTCTTTTTCTTAAAAGCTGTTGGTAAGGAAACTTCTCCAGTTGCAGAACAAGAAAATTACCTACACTATATGCTTTGTTTGTTATGGTAATGCTTAATCTGCTACAATTTTGTCATTTGCAGACACTTTATTTTTGTTTCACTCACCATTAAGTTTATGATCTCAGCTTAACATTGTTGTTGTTAGGTGCTATCAGTGGAGTAAGACCCATAGTGACTGTATGAACCACAGATCTGAACCTCGTCTCATCTTGTGCGGTCATTACACTTCCTGACACGAGAGACTATTGCAGCAGTCACTGTGTCATTCCAGTTGGTTGAGGGCTTTCCTCTCTTTTGTTGATTCTTCACCTTTCCAAGCATGATGTTCTTCTTCCAGGAACATTTTCAAAGTATGTAATAAAAAGCTTTATCATCCCTGCCTCTGAGGAGCACTCTGCCTGCACCCTCTACAAGATATATTTGTTTTGTCTCTTGGCTGTCCATGGGATGTTTAGTGCTCTTCTCCAATACCACTGATCAAAGGCATCAATTCTCCTTCTGTCATATTTACTCATTTTTCAGCTCTGAGATGCTTAGTAAGTGATCAGAAAGACCATGGTCTGACTCAGACACACCTTAGTCCTTAAACTGATATCATTACTGCTCAATAATTTGGAGAAGTCCTTGACTGCAAACTTATAGTCTATGGCTAGCTAGTGTTAAGGGTTCATAGTCACCTTCTAATTGCTACACTGTAAGAATTACTTAAAACTTCATTTCCCCATTTTTAAAATCTAAAAAATTCTCAGTGGTCCACAATATACCTGAAGATGACTTAATTACTGGTTTTCAAGAGTTTAAGGCAACATTCAACTTAAAAAAAATTAATTAGCCTCTGTAATTGGACAGAATGTTCTACCAATTAATTCCTCGCTAGTCTCTGGATTTTGTCACAACTTCTAAAGGGGAGGAGAAACAAAATCATAAGAGTATTCTTTAGGCAGGACCCCCTCACCAACTTCACCTCAAGTTGCTTGTCCATTCCTTGTTTGGAAGAATTAAAAAAGGACAGTGCTGAAAACCTAAGGTGAAATTCAAGTCTTCAGGATGATTTTATCATTATAAGAAGATATTTTAATATAAACTTATATGTCTAGAAAATATACATAAAAAGAGCTTCTCGAAATATTTTAAAAGGGTGAGGTTTGAAATCTCAAGTGAAACAAATAGATAAGAAAGGAATATTTACAGAATGACAAAGTGTGAATTTTCATAACTGACTAGTGAAATTCATTGTTATCAGGCTGCGTGGTTGAGTCCCAATTCTGATAAAGGGCTTTTCTGGGTGTGTCAGTGATAGGAATATGGCCTTTTCCAAAGTGGTAGCTCCAAGAAGAGCCTTGCACACCTTAAAGCCAATATAAAGGATGAAGGTTGCACTAGGAAGCTTCACTTACTCTAGCTTGGACTCCCTCCTCCAGGCAAAATGAAAGCCCTTGTGAGTATTTGCTATGCTTCTTTACACTCTTATGGTCGTGGTTTTCAGAGAATGTTGTAAGATTGGGTTAAAAATGAAGTTTCTGTGATATTTTGAGACGCTTATTAAAAAATAAAAATAAAAAAATTAGAAATATCTAGAGCATGTTAATTTGAAGGTGTTAAATAATAATTCATTGATATATTCTTTGGGAGAAATGTTGGCATTTTAGAATAACTTCATTTACTATTTAAAAGATAAGTGGTAATTGAAAAACAACCTTCTTCTTTACCACTTCTGCTCCTCCAGCCTCCTTGCATTGTCTCAGCCATCTACAGTCCCACCATGTCATTTGCATAAGCGATTGTGTTCTGACCCAGAATAGAATCCCTTCTCCTTGTTTTAACCCCCAAAAGACCTTATTTCTGGTTCAGTTGCTGAGGAATAAAGTAAAATGGTAAGTAAAATGCTGAAGATCATTTAATGAGTTACTTCTCCTAGGGTACTCTCAATTTTCTAAGACTCAACCTTATAGCACAAATAAATAACCAGTTATGGATCAAACACAGGAATGTTAGAATGGTTGTTGTGCTGGAGCAAGGGACACTTCCTGAGGTCGCTCCACTCATGCCATGAATTTGGTGATCCTTCATCCACATGTTCAAGTATGTTTTACATTTACTAAATAAGAGTCTCCGAGGTTATTCACACTGAGCTGAGATGAGGAAAGATGGGTTCCCATGTCAGTGTGTCAGCCAGAAACTACATGCAGGTCTTTGTTAGAGACTCTGTCAGGTCATCTTTTATATAGCGGTGGGATAGAAAGGGATGTATAAACGTCCTGCTGATAGTTCTTAGAAATGTCCACCACTATGATGTTCAAGAGAAGAGACACACCTCTCCCCTAAACAGGAATCAGCTTTTTAGGTTGCCTCTTACTTAACTATAACAAAATATCCGAACTCTTTCAACGTCAGCACATGAACCCTTACTCAACACTCACCCATACTATCATCCACGTATGGATTATAAGGAAATATGGAAAGTACTCCTGGATCTGAGTTTGATAAACTGCTAATACCCCAAATGTTTTACCTTCCTCATTTCCCTCATTGTTGTTGTTGGAGTCAACTGATAGCTGACACTCCAGTGGATTTTCAGAGGCAGTAAATTGCACAGGAGGAAATTGCTCATCTTTCTCTTGTGGAGCAACTGATGGAGTTAAGCTAGTATGTACATAATGCCTGTTAAACCATTTGATCGTGTCTATCACTTTGGAAGTGGACACTAACCCATGTCTGTAGAGAAGGGCATGTTCTAGATATTTGTGATTTTTTTCCAATCTAGTGTCCCCTTACTTTTGCTGACCAGCTGATGTGTTTTTCAGGTAACATTTCTGGTGATTCTGGCCACCTTTGGAACACAATCACATGGATATGAGGTGAGTTGGCTTGTTAACGGGCTTTATTTCATGGAGGTGTTCAGGGAGTAAAGGGAAGGGAATGCAAAAAAAAAATCTGAAGGACATTAGAGAGTCAATAATTGGGGTAGACTATACAAAATAATCAACAATGGAAATGTTAAGTTTGGTTATTTCTCTTCAAAAGCAATAACTTAAAAAATGTAACTCATTGTTGTCAACCTCATTTCTCCTTTGAAATCACTGATACTACTTATTTTATTTTATTATTCTTTGTGGATGAACTGTCAAATCTGACTGGTATAGGAAAGAGACTGTCCCTCCTTTTCAAGCAGAGCATCTGGTGGACTCCATCTGCGTACCTTTGGGATTGCAGAGCAGCTTCTTGCCACTAGGCCAGCAGAGCTCCAACATATCGCTGATATTCTTCTACATAATATTGTAACTTATGAGGAAGAGCTTAATATTATTATTTTAACATGGACTTTCAGACTTAGGTCCTAGAACGGAGTTTTCAGAGTCCAATTCCAGATCAGAGAATGCTTTATTTTATTTGGGTGGCAGAGCAGTTTCCATTCAAATGCATACAATTTATGAAAAAAAAACATTATGTTTTCTTGTAAATCCAGGTTTTTAACATGATTAACCCACTCAGCAATGGTGGAAATTTTCAGGAGACAATGACAATTGACAATGAAAAAAATATCGCCATCATCAACATCCATGCAGGGTCATGTTCCTCTACCACAGTTTTCGACTACAAACATGTAAGCAGCAAAGTAATTTTATATTATTTATCTTTTCAGGACTTGTTTTTATTTTAAATAGAATTTTATTTTAATTGTGATTTTAACAAATATTTACAGAGAAGTTAGATTTTCATTATTGTTGCACATTTTGCTTCTTTCCCCTTCCTTTACCCTCCCCCGGTTCACATTTTGTAAAAATAAAAAAAATTCATTCATTGTTACACAATTACCTACCTCCCGCTCCCTCTTCCCCTAATCCTCTTTGCAATGATATATCTTTTATTCTGGGATGTTGTATTTCAAAGGGAAGAGGGAAGCCATTTGTTATATATTTATTTTTGTATTGCCACTTAAAAATCATTTTCATGTTTTTCCTTTCCCTAAGTAACCAAGCAAACCAAACTCTAAGAAAACAACAACAACAACAAAACATGACCAGAAGCATAAAAATTTGCTTATATTCTCAGTTGGAGTTTAAAAAAGTGATGACATTATCTCCCTAAAGGCTCAGAAAGCATCCAGAAAAGGAATCAAAACATTGTCTGCCACACAAATTAAAGATTTTTTAGAAATTTTTTAATTGTGATTTTAATGAAAATTTACAGGAAAAGTTATATTTTCAGTCATTCATTGTTGCTCTCCCTTCCCTGTCTTCTAATTCACTTTGGTTTTGCTTTTTTTTAAATATTCATTCATTGTTGCACAATTACCTCCTTCCTCCTCCGCCTCTCTTCTTTCCAACGTACCTCTTATTCTGGGCTATTGTCGTACATGTACTGCCTAATCAAATATTCCTTTTAAAGCATTCTTTCCTTCATCTGTCCAGTGCAATGTTGATTATTTATCCACTCTTTTTCTATTATATCTATCCACTCTTATTGTATTCTTCTTCTAAGCCCTCATGTCAGATCTGCCTTATAACAGTGGTGTTACGCAGTATTTGTCCTTTTGGTACTGAGATATTTCATTCAACATAACGTCCTGCAGGGTCACTCATGTTGTGTAATGTTTTATGAATTCAGTTTTTCAGTATTCCATTGTGTGAATCACAGTTTTATATCCATTCATTTGTTGATGGGTATTTGGGTTGCTTCGATGTCTTTGTTATTGCAACTAAAGTAGCAATAAACATATGTATGCATATATCTCTCCTTCTGTCCTCCCTAGTCATTGTCCAACTCTCTGATGCATAACAAGCGATTGCAAATACCATGGCCTGTATCAGGCGCACCTTAGTCACAGAAGGAGAGTGGATGCTTTTGAGCTGTGGTGCTGGAGAAGGGTACTGAATGTACCATGGAATGCCAGGAAAACAAACAGATTCATCTTGGAGAGGATTAAACCAAGCTACTCCTTGGAGGCAAAGATTCTGGGGCTTCGTCTGACATACTTTGGAC